TTGCTCATGAGCAGGTCTGCATATGTGGTCACATACGATGCCACAATTTACCCGTTGATGAGACAGCCAGAGGTGCATCTTGTATGCCTTTCTAGGTGGATTGAAGCATTGTGGTCGAGGGTCACATCGCTGGCATTAGTCGTAATGGTCTTGCATTGATAACCATGGCTATAGTTGCTTATTTGAATTTCTCTTATTAATATATGTAATATTCTTTTGAGTTTTATTGAATTTAATGACCCGATTGAAGATCATTTTATTGTATAGGTTAATTATATTGGAGAATAAAGACAAAATGTCTTTGTTACTCTCTATCAATGACTCATAAAACGTATGTATTGAGGAAAAGTAATAAATATCTAAATTAAAATGCCTGGCATCACATAAAAAATATATTCATGTGATTTTCCATATTCTTATAATCAATTTTTTTTTATATTTATTGCCCACATTGAGGTGCAAGCACATCAAACCACCCTAGCACCTCACCTTATCCCACATTTCATAACCATGATTTTTAGCAATAGAACTCAATATTATGATTTCATGGCTTCAGTCTCAATTTCTGAAGAATTCTCTAATCTCATCATCCATGAATACCAAAACAATTGTTGTTTCTTACAAGAGCCCACTACAAGTCCTTCAAACAAAGCAATTCTCTTTTGGAAAAAAGAAGTATACTCCCTCCCTAAAATCAAAAGCTCCAATAACCAGTGTTTTAAAATGCGGCCGCATCACCGCATGTGCGGCCACATCAGGTGGTATGCGGTGGGCACCACATCGGAAAAGACCGCGTATGCAGTTTGGAGGTATGCGGGCGCATATGCGCCGCATCAGAGCGCATCAGAGCCGCATAACACATAATAGCGCATCTAGCCGCATACTGTTCCGTGATGTTATTTCGATTGTGCCCCTAAGGGATGGGCAAAATGGTCCTTTTGACCATCAAAAATTGGGGAAATAGTTTCGGGGTATTAAACCCACTAAACAATCATTTACAGCTATGCTCGTGGCTTTTTTGGGATCAAATTGAGCAAAAAAAAAAAAAAAGGGCAGAAATTGTTTTTCATTGAGATCTTGAATTTCGGCATTGTTTGATACTTGGATCTTAATTTGAACCTTTCTGTTGTTAATTTGGGGAAGTTTAGGTGACTTTGTGACAAGAAATTTGGGGAAGTTTAGGTGATATTGATGATGCACATGACGACTCTCAAGATGACTTCAGAATTGTCTCTCAAGATGACTTCTATGATGAATGGATGATTGTATTAACTATTTACTCTTCTTGAGCTTGACTTCAAAACTCTTTAATCTTCATGGAGACATGGACTTTTGGTTTGTAGTATCATTATTTTATAACTTTAAAGTTTGTGGTTGCAAATTTGTGCTTATGGTTGTTGATTGTTGAATGTTTGATGAAGCTAGTTTCAAGTTTGTAGTTTTTATTAGGGGATAGATACAGAATCTCCAAGATGTAATATTTTTGGAATTAATCATTAAACTAAAATACCTACTATCACATATATATCACCTCCATATTTTTTTCTATGTATTAAACTATTTTTTTTTATTTTTTAGAATTTTTTTATATTTATTGACCGCATCATCGCGATGCACCTGCATTCGGACCACATCGGCCCCCCACCACTTTTGGTGGCATCCCGCATTTTAAAACAGTGCAAATAACCCCCCCAACTCATGGAAAGCCATAGAACCACTCCCCCCCCCCCCTCCCCACCTCCTCCCCCTCCCCCTCCCCCTCCCCCCCACTCCAAAATTTAAAAGAAAAGGATGCTTAAA